CTACCACTGCTACTACGACGACGACGACGTACTACTTCTGGTGGGCAGTCGTAGCGGTCGGGTCTAGCTGGAAACGTGATAACCATGTTTCACTGGTTCCTCGTATCCCAACGACAACGACTACAAAGGACTTCTTGGACACGAGTCTTACCGAGAAGAGCCAAGCTTGACACCCTGATCTGCTAAACTGATCCTTCAAAACCGTTTAGGGCTACCCTAAACCCTAAACCCCAAAACCCTAAACCTTTAGGGTTTAGGGTTTAGGGGTACAGGGTTTAGGGCCTGAGCTCCGAAGCCGAAGGATGAGCCCAGGGTCGAGGCCGAGGGCCTGCCTACGGGTTGCAACTTCTTCGGCGCCTGCGGTGCCTGAGAGGCGGGAGATCCCCTGGCTTTGCCCCTAGGTGTCGTCGTGGCTGTCAAGGGCAGCACTAGCATCTTGCTTGGGAGTCTCCTTTTCTTCTTTGATGTGTGATCATGTGCGATTGTCAAGCGGGATTCAGCTCTGGACTTTGGGGGGTTTTGGTTTTGGAGTTTGATGGAGAGAGGGGTTGCAAGACGAATAGGAGGAGTGGTAGTCGGGATTGGCAGCAGCAGGAGCAGTGGCAGTGGCAGTAGTTGAAGGTGAAGTCTTCATCGTCGTCGTCTTTGTCTTCGTCTTCGTCGTCTTAGGCACATAGAATGACAGCATGACAAGCCTACCCACCACACAAACACACTAGCACAGAAAACAAACAAACACAGACATACAATGACACGCGCACAAACATTAGCATGCATGCACAGGTATGCACATCGTATGTGTGTGCATGCATGCGTGGGTGCGTGCGTATATACGTACCTACATGCATGCATTCTTTTGCCGCCCTGTCAGGCACGACAGTGGTCAACACACGGCTCCGGAAGAAGATGGTACGATCCTCCAGACCTCCAGCTATTGGATGGCTAAGCTGTGTACAGCAAGACTCCTGTGCTCGGGGCAGACGTCCTGAGCCAGTTTTTGTTCCAAGTGTTCCCAGGCGAAGAAGTTACCTGGTATAGCCCGATAATTCGTTGCCTTCGATTTTGCACAGGTTGCGCAGCCAAGCGCAATCTTTAGCTCCTGGGCTCCGCATCAACGATGTTTGCATCGGAGCCCAGCTTTTGCGTTGCATGATGCGAAATGACCGCCGTGAAGGGCCCAGAGAAATTCTGCGAGCAGTTCCCGCAGTAGTTGCCTGGCGTTGACGATTTTCTGTGAGCTCTTCACATGATTTCGTTCCGTATTTGCTGTCCTTGCCTGTCTTCCTTTTCCGAGTCTTTGTCTTCTTTCTGCCCTCGCCGGATTGTCCCGAAGAGAGACAGAGGCCATGGCTAAGAGTCTCATTGGAACGCCTTGAAAGAAGCATTTTGGCTTGCTTGCAATTGAAGCCTGCTGAAGCCCCTCGAGCCTTCTCGCGGTGTCTCATCATGGGTTGCAGCGGCAGCAAGACTCTAAGCTCAAAGCAGAATCTGCCGGTAGGCAACTTGAGGCCTTGAGTTGCCTTAAACCCTACAACACTAACCACGCCATACTTCAAATTCACTAAGCCTTCCCACAAGGCAACACCCGACCCCAACTAGTTTAGACATTGGCACGTTGCCAAGGACCGGTGTCGCTGCGTCCTCGCAGAAGCCTCCGATGCCGGTTGCTGCTGCGGAGTCCAAAGCATCCACCGAGGCCCGGATGGTAGAGAAGCATGCAATATGGTGATGATAAATGGCAGATACACTAAACAGGTAAGTTGGATTGTAGGTTGGGTAGATACACTAAAGCAGTAAGTTGGACTGTAGGTTGATCGAGCAGCAGTAATGCTATACTCATGATGCCGACAGGAGTAAGCAGCGTGGCGTAATACGTGCAGCAACAATGCCGCCTAATGCAAGCTGCCCTAGATGCACACGTATTGAACAAATAGAAGACTAGTTCAGCATGACGGCATGGTTCGCCATAGCGTAGCATATATACTGCTGCAGAATTATCAGTTGACTGGACGTGACCCTGACACGCATGCCAAAAATGATAGCAGCGCAGCCCTGCGCTGCAGTATCCAGACAGCAAGATCAGGAGCAGCAAGAGCACCACGAGCACGAGAACATGGGGGTCCATAGCAGTGGAGTGCCCGAAATCACGAAGCCTACAAGCCCAAAGCCCTTAGCCTTCAAGCCAAAATCTCAAATATCCATTTTGAGGCCTTGGGGTACAAGGGATAGGATTCCGGCCCAAACCCTTGAACACTTAAACCCTTAAGCCTTAAGCCTCAACCCTCAAAGCATGCCCCAGTGACCGGGAGCCTTCGGATCCCGGTAGGCTCCCACCGCGGAAGACCGAGTCGAAGAGGCCTTCACCGAGGCACGGGGCTTTAATACTACTACTGCTCCTACTAGTACTACTACTACTACTACTACTACTACTACTAGTACTAGTACTAGTACTAGTACTACTACTACTACTACTACTACTACTACGCTGCTACTGCTACCACCACCACTACCAACAGTTATTGAGAACAACGTGGCAAGAATGATAATGTGTGCGCCTACTTGGAGGTTCATGGTTAGTTATATGTAGGGTCATAAGTCCCTTAATATGGAATCGAATCTTAGCTATTCTTCTTATAACCCTACTTACAACGTATAACTAGCCATGACCCTCCAAGTAAGCCTGAGTAGTTACCAAACACAATTTCTCAGGGTTCCTACTCAAAGTATCGTGTATTTGCTGAGCCCCATAGCCCTGTTCTTATTATTGAGGTTTCGCTAAAAGCGCGTGCAACTCGTACGGGTTTGGGGTTTACAGGTTTGTGTGATGGTTCAAGGTATCTTGGGATTTAGCGTTCAGGGTCCATGTTTGAGGGGTGAAGGGGGTACTGTTGGGACTTTTGGCATGAATAAGGGCATCACCACGGTTGTCATACAAATGCATGCTAATCACGATGCTGACAGGACCCTGTGACAAGTCAGTGGTCATGCTTGCTGTGATGCCTACCGTGCTGGTGCGCCTATACCTGCATTGCACTTATGGTAATGGGCCTGCTGACCATGATTGTATTGCAACCATCGTGTTTTTAAACACAAATTCTCGTATTCGGCAACTGTTGACATTGTAATCTGCCTTTTTGTGCGGTACACTGGGTACTGTTCTATGCAATGGGGGTTGCCCAGGCCTCGCAGAAGCCCAGAAACCAGCGAACCGAGCAATCCTAATGAAGAGCAGACCCCTCAAATCACCATAAGAAGCGCACTTCTTAATTGAGGCGTGAATCCAACCCTGAACGTTAATCAATCCCCTGTTGCTAGAAGGCTTGCCACACGCGTCGAGGGTTTGGGTGGGGTTGGGTTCGGTGAGGCTAGGGCATGCTACGGCTTGATGCGTACGTGTGGTTACAAGCAGGCTTGGTGCCACAATGCGACGGGTTGGTGCCGATGTTTTCGGTTTTGGCTTTGGACTTTGTAGCTTTCTTGTGTTTTGTTTTTGTTGGTGGGTGCAGCTTTGCTTACCCCGTTGGGGGCGGCGTCATGGCCTGACGGCAAGTGCAGGTGATGGGGGTTGAGAGTTTGCAAGCCGCTTGGGGTTGCAGGATTGTGTAGCGCATCTTCAAAGCCCGAACCGTTAACAGGACCCAAACCTATGCACGGTTCCCGAGGCTCTGCAAGGGAAGGGCAAGACAGTGCACACAGGGAATTTTCCGGAGAGTAGGCAGGATACCGGAAACGAATTTCGCATTCCTGCTGAAACTGTTTTGATTCCAACAAAAGAAACCGGCAAAGAAGTTGCCCTAGCAAGTCTTCTCAGAGCGAAAGAAGGTCTGTGCACCACACATTTCTTCGCAGAAATCTCTATCGGCCCCGGCTGGTAAGTTACCTGTGTTCACAGACGTAATGTGGAGAAGCATATTTGTATTTGTAAGCAGCGTCTTACCTCGCTCGCGCCCAGTCTAAGTAGTTTCAAGATGTTCATTCCAACGCCAAGCCAGGTTTTTGTGCTCAGACTTTAGCCACTTTAGCCTGCACGTGAGAAGAGCCGATATGTACAAAATGGTGAAGATGAACCATCTTTTCACAATATCTGTTTACGTTCTGGCGCCTAGACAGCCGAGCAAGCTGCGACCACTGCTAGCCTTGATCTTTAACCATTCGTGGTCTGGGGGAGTTGCTTGATGTAAGCATCCCCAGACGTGGCCAGTGTGAGCCTTACAGGTAGGCGGCACATTGTCCATTTTACATCGATCTGGGAGCTACAGCACCACCCTGAAATTATGCCTTTACACTATGCCGCGTTATCGTGTCATGCTGGTTGTGGCGATTGTGCGAGGTTTTTCTCTGGAGTGGAGTGGGGGGGGGGGTGTGTTACCTGTGATGTCAATAGTCTCGTCTTGTCTCTGTTGATCTTCTGCTTTGTGCGTTTGACTGAATGACTGAATCCTGTGACAGGCAAGGGACTCTGCGGTCGTGGCTGGAGCCGAGGCAGCAGCTGTGGGGCAGGTTGAAGAGAAGATAAGACAAGCAGTAACTCTAGCAGTCGCAGCAGTAGTAGGTTGACATCGGCGGGGGAAGGGTCAGTGAGGGTGGTACTGCCACAGCAAGAGTTCAGCAGTAACGCCTAGTCAAGCTACAGTAGGTCATCGTCGTCGTAGCAGTAGCAGTCGTCGTCGTGGTCGTGGTCGTCGTCGTCGTCGTCGTAGGCAGCAAGAGCAGCAGCAGTCGTCAAAGCAGCGGCCATTTGTCGTCGTCGCGGTCGTCCTCGTGGGCGGCATGGCTGTCGTCTTTGCCAACAGCCAGGTCGTCATGGCAGCTGAGACGAAAGTGTAGCATCGTAGAACATCCATAGTTGCGAAGTCAAAAGCCTGGCGCCAGGTTGAGAAGGCGGCCCAGGAAGCCTTGGAAGCGGCAGTGGCAGGGGCCAAGGACTTTCGGCCGATGGTTATCATTGTCATCTTCATCGCTGCTTCAGTAGCATCGTCGTAGTAGTGGTTGTAGTAGTAGCAGCTCAGCAGCAGCAGCAGCAACAAATATTATAATATTAAGGCAAACAGGAACATGTATAAGAAATAGCAGCAGTAGTGGTAGTGTCAGTGGGAGGTAGCAGTACGAGTACAGATTTGCACAGACGTGTGACATTGAATGTGTGCGGAGCCAGGGGTCAGCCAAAGCTTCTTGTGTGGAGAATCTGAAGAGGAACGCCCCATGCAGGGCATTAGTTCTGGCATTCTGACCCGTTTGGGCGCTTCGAGAGTGATTTTGTGTGGACGTTGACGCAACAAATGGTTGGGGATCATCGCAACACATCCAACGACTTTGAACGAGCTTCTGCAGCGAAGCCGTGGCGACAATGCTTTCACCTCACTTCACGGGACTTCGTTCGACAGCAACTCCAAGCCCCCGCAGTAGGAGCCATACTGCCATGCTGGTTACAAGCAGAAGCTATATATAGAATAGCATAGAATAGAATTAATAGAATAGAATAGAATAGACTAGAATATAATATAATATATATATATATGGCAACATGAGCACCCGTAGCACAGAAACGCTGCACGGCGAGGAGCAGGGCCTGGATTTGGAGATCACGGCTGTCGAGCCGACTTCTTGTTGCAACCTCTTTGGCGCCTGCGGCGCCTGAGGGCTGGGCGGCCGAGCTTTGAGGACGTGCGCTGAGCTTTTGATTGCAGGTCTTTCAAAGAACGTGTTGGACTCCATTCGGAGCTGTCAGGAGCAGAAGATCGGCCTTTGAGCTGGGAGTCCTCCAGCTGGTCTTGCCAAGCTAGGACGTGTGACACTTTCACGTACAGTACTGCTCTGGTCTCGGCTGTTGTCCGTGCCACCCGAGCTTCTGTCGCACGTCCCAGGCCAAAACGAGACCTGTTAATTATGGGTAATTCATGATCAGTTCATGATCGCCACGCTGGCGGTTTTGCACCGGCTGCACGTGTGCAAACGTTTCGTGATCTGTGTCCCCATGCCAACGATGCTTGTAGTGAGTGGGGCGCAGAGTTTGCAGTGCATCACAGCGACTGCAAAGGAAAAATGCCGCTGAAGGTCTGTCAGTTAGAGGGTCCGATACCTTTCCGACCCTGAGTGTTCCACTCTTGCCAGGCCGCACGGAACTTGGAAGGAAAGCTGCGAAGCGAGCGCAGTGCCTTCGAGGCCGGACCCGAAGCGGAGACGCAGGAAGATTCTTGACTCAGCTTGCGAGGCGCAGAGCGCCAAACGTGACCAGGACAGGCTTTTTGCGCCATGCGATGGCCTGCGGCAGCCCTGGCCACTCTCCTCGTCACGTGCAGCCACAGGAGCTCGAGCAGAAGACCCAAGAGGTCCGAGACCGAGAAAACGAGCTTCGCAAGAAGGACGGCATGATATGTTCACAATCTGCCGCTCTTCAACTTGTGATGCAGAAAAGCTGCAGGAGCGGGAGGTGGACTCTCTCCGAGACCAGGCGCGGTTGTGGGAGGGGGCCTGAACATCCAAGACTCTTAGACGGTCTTTGCAGTCCTTGCTGGACCTCCATAGCCCTTGAAATGCCGGAAACTCCTTGAATCTGAACAATGTGGAGTTGTCTTTTAAATCATGTGCACATGTATATCTACAACATATCTAGAAGCGCCCTGAACTCCAAAAATAGCACCTGCACAACAACAGCAAATCAAAGCTTTTGTCGGGCAAGGCTCGCAAGCTTGAGGACCAGGCTCGCCACTGACGGGGGCACTGGAAGTCTGGTCGCTCCCAAGGGTTATGATTACTACCATGATAAGAATTACTTCATGATAACTCATTTCATCGCACTAGCAAGCATCAATCACAATAATGATGATAGTTTTAGCTAATATTGCACTATTATTTCTGCCGCTGCTGCTGCTCTTACTAGTACAGTACTGTTGCTATTTCCATCATTACTCTGTTATGATTCTCAGTAACACTACTATCATCACATAACATGCAGCCTTTTGCTGTAGGGGCGTTCATATTCGGATATCCTTTATCTACGAAACTGGGAAGGCCGTGCAATTCATCAGGGGCCTACATCAAGAACAGCCGGCATTTGCTGAGATGACATCTTCTCGCTCTCACGACTGCTACGGCTACCGAGGAGTACTGTAGATGAATAGGGTCTGCGGTGAGCATGTTGTCAGTCTACGTGTCCGTACTGTTGTTCTCCGTCTGTCCATCTGTCACAGGCATAACGTTTAGTAAGATTTCTGGAACATCGCCGTGCAGAATGAGTAGGGTGCAGAAGAGCGGGCGCGGGTGTGTTGTCAAGCACCCTGGAAATGCCAATTCTGTCTGCCTCTCATAGAGCTCATCTGCCGTGAATAGTCATGAAAACACGGACTCAAACTGGTAGTTTCCAATTTCGATCCCTGAGGGCGCAGGTACGGTGCTAGTGTGGATGCCAAGCAGAGCAGAAATAACCCCAAACCCTCAACTCTAAACCCCAATAGAAAGAACTTGTAACTTGTCCTTCAGGTTCGGCAGGAGCGGAGAGCCTCTGAGGCGCGTGCCTCAAAGGGCGCGCTCTTCCGGGTTTTTTCAGGTGCATAGGTGGTCGGCTTTGGGGTGTGGGGTTCGAGGTTTGGGTTCAGGGTTTGGGATTTTTTGGGCTTCAAGTTTCTTGCTGGGCCCTACACCATGCCGCTAAGGACCTCGAGTACAAGAATCAGGGCCTGGTGCAGGACCGGACCGAGGTGTTCTGAGCGCATGGCTACCATGAGCCGAGAAGCCTCTGCAAGATCCGATAAGATTCATTCGGAAATATATTACAATGCTGCACTGTAACAGCACAAATTTGGCCCATTCTGAGCCGACAGGAGCTTCATCTGCGAAATCGGCAGCTCCAGGCACCCCATGTATCTGGCAGCCTCACCGCCTACGGATTCAAGAGTGAATTTCTGAAGCATCTGGTGCCAGGAGCAGTCTGAAGAAATGGCGAACTACATCCGTGAGCTTGACGCCTGACACCTAACCCCCCTGCCCTGCTGGCGCTCTCGATGTGCCATCTATGTGCACCCCATGGCAAGCCGAGCAGCTGAGGCACAGTCTAGGGGCGACATCCCCAGTGTCATCAAGGAGGTCAGACAGGTGCACTTGGGCAGGGAGTCGGGGATCACGCTACCTGACCACCTTTGAAGCTTTGAAAGTCCTGCAAAGATTGTGTGTGGCGTTCTGAGCTGCGCGTCCTCTTCGTCGGACTTTGTTGCAACATGGTTCGAGGCTTGAGGTCGTTACATGCCCTGAACACAGACGACGAACAGAACCCGAAACCGTGTTTGGACTGTGAGGTCCTTTGATGCTCGGCAACTGCCAACTTCCCCAAATTTGCATTTGGTATGATCTGGTAGGTATGCCCGACCATGGAAATTCTCAGGTACCTCAGCAGGCAGGCATCGCGTAAAACGTCACAACACGTTTCCCGTAGCATAGCAATACGGCGAACCTGATCACCCAACTCAATTGAGTCTATCACAGCAAAAAGGGGTGAGGCGGTGCAAGCACATTTTCTGGCATGGTGGCATGCACAAACACGAGCCAGTGTCTTGTCGGTGCAGAAAAAAGGCCACGGCAATTTTTGCTTACTTAGCTGTGCTTTGGTGCTGATCAGATCTGCGGTTTTTTCAAACGGCCCTGTGTTGTTTTGGACGGGAGGCACGGGAGGAAGATCCGGAGAACGCCCTGCTGAAGGCGGGATCTGATCTCGTATGTGCGTATGTACGTATGTACCTACGTGCGTACGTACACACCTACGCAGGCAGGTAGGTACGTATGTGTGGATGTATGTGGATGTGCATCAACAAATAGTGAAGTAGATTTAAACACGTATGTTATCATCGACATCTATATAATTCTATATATCTGTGCCCATATCTATATCCATAACTATATCCAGATCTATACCTATATCTATATCCGTATTTGTATCTACATCTATATCTTGATCGTTATCGTTATCCTTGTCTTTGTCTTTGCCTATATCTTTATTTTTATCGAAAAAGGTATCATGTCTTCAGCTATACTATATCTATATCTATATAATATATCTATATCTATGTACTCTATCTATATCAATATCAAATTCTATATCTATACCTACATCTATTTCTATGCTGCCTGTATCTATATCTATACCTGTGCCCATATCCATATCCAGATCTATGTCTGTATCTGTATCTGTAGCTCTATTTATATCTGCATCTTATCTACACCTACATCTATAGCGATAGCTATAGCTATAGCTTCCTCTCTCTCTATCTATCTATCTATCTATCTATCTATCTATCGATCCGTCCGTCCACCCCCTCCTCCCTCCCTCCCTCCCTCCCTCCATCCACCTACCTGCATACACTATTGATGTTGATCGAGCGTGGCGAGATTCGGCCTCGGTACCTCCTTGGCGGGCCCAGGAGCGGCTTGCGAAGTCCGAGCGCGGGGCTTGGCCTGACTGGACCATGCTCGGGATCCTTTCGGGTTGAGGGTTTGGGGTTTAGGGTTTTGCCCACCCCGCATCAGATGTCCGTGGCCTCCCGACCAGGGCTGATGTGGAACTTCTGCGGCAGTGGAAAGACCACGAGGGTCACAGATAGCTCGTTGACAAGGCCATGGCTGATTGCTGGCTAATGACGAAGTTGTCGAGTAGAGATGTGCTTGGCTGACATGGGAGGCCAGATAGCTCAGGCTTGCCTCAAGGCAAGCGTCATGAGAGGTATGTGATTTTGGCTCTTGTCTCACTCCCGTGTGATCCAGAACAGGGACGGACGTCAGCCAGCATGAATGGATCACCTGTTCCGGAACTGACGGAGAGACGATGTAACAGAGTTTCACCTCTTTCTGCGCAAAATTGGCAGAGCAGTGGCAGGGCTGTGTAGGAGCTGTCGACATCTCAACTTCGCCACGTGCAGCTCCCCTGCGCCCGGAGAAGAAGAGAGCCATTCATTGTCCAAGTGGGGGCGCTGCAATGTGGCATGTGTTGGCATCGGGGCTGGGCACCTGGGCACCCCTCCGATCTGGTCTTCTGGACACAGAGCCTCCTTGAACTCGGAATCCAAACTAGCTGCCGTCCATTTCCCCTTGCAATTCTTGAAGCCCGGAGGGCCGTATAATTCGAGTAATTCGTCTTCACTGGGCTTCTGTACACATTGCCCGCTTCTCGTCGCAGAACTTAGCTGTGGAGTCGCCGTCAGGGTCTAAGATTTATCGGAGAAGCCTGGCACATGAGCCTTGAATTCGCAGGGACGGGGGACTTGCTCTGTGTTGCTGCTGCCGGAGCCCGGAGCGGAAGGTCGCAGCAACTTCTTAGGAGCTCGTCCATGCCCTTCGCAGCGGGTCGGAATGCACGCCACTGGAAAAAAGGTGCATTCTACTCGCAACGAGCTCCCCCTTGGTCAGTTTCATGCAGCTTGTGACCATGACCACATGGCCCGACACCCGACACAAATTCGCCTCGCAGCTGTGAGGGCGAGGCCGCTGTTCTCGAAATCAGGTGGGTCGATGCGGGGCCTTCAGTGAGGTTTTGCCTCTACAAGGTGCAACTCCCGCCTACCAGTGGAGCAACCTGAGCCCTTAAGTTAGACTCTACACCTTGGACCCATAAGCCTTATAAGGCCCGATACTCCCCTGACCCCTACCACCAAA